CTTTAAAGGAATTACTTAAGGAATTAACTGTGAGCTGATTGTGCTGTTGCTGATTTTCACTTCTGTATACCAGTAGTGCTCATGATGACTAGACACAGTTAATTCTATCATTTAGTTTTGTCTGCTTCTACAGTCTAATATGATATTTGACATGATATTTATTCTCTCAAAGCAGCCTGCATTTTAATTAGTATGTGTAGTCCTTCAAGGCTTTAAAGATTATTCCTGGGATAATGACTAATGATAAACATTTTATCTGCATGTGTATGTGTATGCATATATGTATATATGTATGTATATGTATATACCTACATACACAGAGACACTGTATGTGTGTATGTACACATACACACTTTTGAAATCCCCATACACTTACTTCCCCTCAAGCTCATCCTCTCTCTCTGTCAGGTTAATCAATAGACACCGTATGGCAGAGGGTCAGTAATCAGTGTCATCATGCCTTTAAATCGTGTTGAAAATTTGCTTAAAGCCTGGGCCAATTAACATCGAGATGATGAATGGATGGGTAGATGGGAAGAGCCTTGTGCTTGGGGGCTTTGTGCAAAGGAGATGCTCAGCTGTTGAGCAGCCGACACCAGCGAATAAAATCAGCCATTCATATGAGCTCAGTCCACCCACTCTTAATGATAATGTCAATCTAGCAAAATATATACACATTGGAGTTGTCATGAGTTCATAAATCAAAGGAGTTTGTCAAAGGCATTCAGATTAACGAGGCAGCAGCAATAACAAGTCAAATTTGCATAGAGAATTGCCTGAATCTCAGTAAATTATGATCCAGTTTTTCATTTGATTATTTGCTAATGTCTCAAGAGGGAAAATGATTATATTAGCATGCAAAATCTACTCCAGAAGTAGGAATCTGAGGTGCAGCCGACCAGCACATGATGACAATTAATCAGTTTCTGCATACTAGCATGAATATACAAGGCCCAGAAATGAACTCCTTTTATTATTATTTCTCCTTGCTACCGATCCAAATGGTTCAGCTTGACAGTGACTTTATATTACTTTAACAGTGTTCTGAATTGTGCCTGTAGGCAAGACATAGTTATGCAGCTATAACCAACCTATCCATCTGCCAACCAGATTGGAATTCTCTTATCCAAAGCTACCATTAACCCCCACTGACAGTTCCAGACAGGATTAAGGATTTGGAAGCATAAAGAAGCTCTCTCTGTGTATACAGTATATGGTTTCTTGCTTTCACACACAGATAGATTTTTCAAAAAGTGCTGCATCTGTATGGTTTATTAATAGTGCTAACAAATGCAAGCCTCCACTTTTCCCATCCTCAGGAAATAAAACCTCTATACCTCCATTGGCAAGATTATTGCTTGAGACAAGAGACATTTTTAATAATTCTGAAAGGCTTTTAATCCCATCTATTGCCTCTGATTCTAACAGATGAATTTAATGCAACAATTATCATATTCAGATTCTTCATTGTAACTATGTAGGGATGTTTTGGAGAGGTGTGACTGAGTTTCATGAGAGAACTGTGTACAATGGTTGTTGAGGTGGTTGCATGCCAGGTAGATTTGTTGTGTTCATTAATACAAGGTGAAGCATTCTCTAACAAATGACTTTTCTCAAAACTCTGTTCCTGTTAGGTCCCTATTACCAAAAAAAAAAAAAAAACCCCTTTGCAAGTAGCTATTTAAGTATTGCCTGCTTACTGCTTACTGAGATAAGAATGAAGAACATATCTCTCACAAAATTAGGTTACTTTAAATTTTCTGATGCTTTCTTATCTTTAATCTTGTACTATGCTAGGGTTGAAATCAGAGTACAAAATTTCCAAGGAGAGAGGTTAGACAAATTAATCATTCTTCTCTGTTTTTCTTATGATTATATTACATTTATTTATCCAGGCCTTCCTTAAAGCAGATAAAAATAATATCAACCACACCATCCCATTACTTTTTTTAGTATCATTTAGCAATTATAGAATAATTCAGAATATTCCCTACTCATTGATGTCATGTGGGACTATGTCATTAATTATTGCCTTTTTTTCTGAATTGTTAAACGTAGGGGAAAATAGCAAAAGACCACATGTTATATGGTAAACTGAGTCAGAAGATCTGATAATTCATGGTATCCTATGATCCATACATTAGAGAGAATATAATTTCTGATTTAATTTTTTTAAGAATAGCAATAACAAAATGACTTTTCTATCTAAATTGCATGTTCGAAATGAAGAATGTTTTAGCAACAGGAATGGGGTATATAAAAAATAATTGAATCACAGTTTTTGAACTTCCTTGTGTTTCATTGCAAAACATCTCTTTACTTATCAGCAGAGTAGAAGGTAGTAACAATCTCTTAATTTTTGCTCTGAAAAATAATTGACTTGCTGAATTAAAAATCTAGCCCTTGCCCTCTTAAATTGCTATAAGAAAGTCAACAAGCAATTCAGTGGAAAGTGTTGATCACAGATGTGCATATTTATTTTACTTTTAGGATGCGTAACTGAGCTAAAAGACAACTTGCATTTGAAAATTGTTTTCTGTCTTGGGATTGTTTCTGATAGAAATTATATTTCGGAAATGTTCTAAGGCTTGTTGTCCACTAAGATTTCCAGTTTCTAAGCAATGAGTTCCATCTTTGCTGCCGTTACAGAGCTTAATGTTTTCCAGTTTTTCAGCCTTTGCCAAGCGTAACTTAACTTGCTGACAAAAGTGCATGAGCAGCGCTCCTCTTTAATAGTCTGCTGTGTTGGTGCAGTAGAATGGGGTGACAGCAAGCTGTGAGCCACCATATGCACTTGGCAGTCATTGTCTGGTCTTTGTTCAGCCAACCTCTTAGTCTTGCCACCTATAAAGATAATGAATAAAACAAAGGCTTCAAATTAGCTGTTTAGTTTCAAGATGAAATTGGTAAACTTCAAGCATGTTGGGGTGGGCAACATAAAGGCAGTAGAATTCCAGGGCCCTTAGTAATATAACTTAGAAGGAAATCAAAACAAAATAGGATCTAAAATTAAAGTTTTAAAAAAAATCCAGTCACATTAACACTATAATATCAACCTAAAAATGTAATGTGTAAACTTTTCCTATCCTTACTTGCTATCTGATTCTTTCTAGCCCATATTTTCTGTGTTTATGGAATGATGTCAGCAGTTACCTTTCTTCTGACTTAAAATTGTCCTTAAAACTATAAGAATCATGACTGAGACACTGTGTTGTCTATTGGGTTTTATCCAAATGGGTGTTTTGGGTAGGAATTTTTATTTTTAATGCAATCAAAAATTAGTGTGTACTTTAGTTATTTACAAACATTTTAATCTCACTTTTAGCTACCAGAAAAAAATTAAAATGTGGCCTCCCAAATTATTAAAGAAATTAGCACAATACAGTTAATTATAATTGTTCATGGCTTTTTAGTATCATTTAGACAACAAACATTTGTTGCTAGGAAATAAGTGACTAGAAATAATCATATAGTCATCTCAGTATCATGGACAAGAAAGAAGAAGCTAAATGGTAAAACATTAGTTGATTTAGTTTGTGGCACCTTCACAGAATCAAGTGGCAGAGCTAGGTAAGAACTGGATACAGCTGGTATGTCAGAATAATTTAGTACTATAATACAGTGGCTTGGCTTGGTAGTATAAAACATGTTTTCCATTGTAGGAGCTAGCTTAGTTCAAGCTTATGCTGACCTGACAAGCAGACCATTTAAGTAAAACCACCTTGAAGTTCAATTTTTTTTACATGCATATTCATTCTTATATAAAAATCATGAGTAGAGAACCTTTTTCAGATTAGGAACTCATTTCAGTGTTCAACATAATGCTAGGTACTCTATCCTCAGAGGAGGGTGGGATAAGAGCAGAAAAATGAACAAGAAGCAACACTGAAGCCCATTATAATTTATATTGTTATAATAAATGCTGATACTGTTTTCATCATCTTTGTTATGATTGTTACAATCACAGTATTATCAGTGGTAGCAACTGAGAGGCCTCTATGGTTGAACACAGTCTGTTAATATCTACAAGTCTAGAATGGCAGTTTTACTATTTCTTCTGACTAACTTCTATGATCTTTTCTACCAGCTGCCCTAATACTAGTAAGATGAAAGCAGTTGCATGTTTTAATGACTACACTGATGGAGACTGTGCAAGCATAGAGAATTGGAGAAATCTGCTGTTGGTTGCAAAAGAAACAAGAGATTTACTTTTAAATATGGCTATTTTGCCTACTGAGGGTTTCATGGTTTGGGTGATGACGCTGTAATGTCACCTATAGGGAAAGAACCAGAATTTTACCCGAAAACAGGTATATTTTATTTTCTGGGGGGAAAAAATAGCAGGCAGATAGGTACTATGCCATTTAGCTAAATAAAAAAACTGGATTGTACGCCCCACAAATGCTACATAAAAAGCCAACCTCTGTTTTATAGGATGCCCACTTTGTTACATTCATTTAAATTTCATAAAAGAGATCTCAGTGTACTAAATCCTGTACTGTCACAGAGTAAGACATATCAGTTTAGTTATGTAAAAGAATAAGTATTTTGCATTGTAGAAATTTGAAAGAACAAGCTGGAAAACATTTCTGATTTGTAACACAGGTAGATACTGTAGTCCTCATTTATGAGGTAATAATTGCCTTATTAACTGAGCATTTCCAAATATGATGGTAATAACTGTTAGTATAAAATCATTTTCCAACCAGTGCATCATGCACTTGTGCCCAATTTCTTCTATTGACAACAACGCACACCAGAACGAGAATAATTTTGGCATCACTGCATGGGAGAACTTTATTTAAATGAGGCAGCAGCAACCAGTGATCTTTGCAACATCTCTTTCTCTCAGTCACATGATTTTCTTAGCAACCTTGTCACTAGAATGAATTGTGGTTGCTAAATGAGGACTGCCTGTATTATAAATGCTTATTTAATTATGTAAGTAGCCAGCTTAATGGAATACTTAAATTACTTTTTTATTTTTATTTTCTGTATAGACTTCCTCTGAAAGAGAAGATTGTAATAATGATGAGCCTCCCAGAAAAATCATTCCCGAGAAGAATGCACTCAGGCAGGTATGAAATTGATTCAAACTCACAAACACTATCCACCTCTTTACTTGAAACAGCTAGGATTCTTTTCTTCTGAAAAGCTATAAAATAAAAATAGACATGATTTTGTTCCAGCTTTTTAATTTGAAACATTATGCTAATTTTGAAGAGATTCTGTATTTTTCAGAAGCTGACTTTTAGCAGCTAATCTATATCTAAATAACCTATAATCTTTATAGAGCAGTCTGGGAGTTGTTCCCTGTGATCTTAACCTGGTTCAGTAATGTCTATAAAGCAGTCCCTTGTGTATTGGAGAGATAAAATTGTAGTCATTTTATTTGCTGGTTTCACCTGGCAACAGTCTCCCATCTTATGTTTAACATAGCCATTCAGACTTCTGTAACCTATTTAACCTGAGCCGAGGTGGCGCAGCAGTTAGAGTGCAGTACTGCAGGCCACTTTAGCTGACTGTGTTCAGCAGGTCAGCGGTTCAAATCTCACCGGCTCAAGGTTGACTCAGCCTTCCATCCTTCCGGGGTAGGTAAAATAAGGACCCAGATTGTTGGGGGCAATGTAAATATATATATACATTGCTTACTGGTGTACACCGCTTAGAGAGTGCTTGCACTTAAAGCGGTATATAAGTCTCATAAATAAATAAATAAAATAAAAAACCTCTTAAATAGATATTATCTCAAACAAAATTAAAGTAAACAACTAATTAGCATTCAATTATTCAATATTAAAGGTACATCAGAGTAAAAAGTCACATATTTCTGGTCCCAGTTTGAATTCAGTGAAAGGAAAGTTAAGTGATCCCAGTACACTCAGGTTGTCTGTAGTTATGCTATATCCTTAACCTTCAATTACTGTGTTACATACATAGAAACATAGTGTTTGGTGAGGCTACATACCAACTACTAGCCGAGTACTATTGAGAAACTTCAGGACTGCATGAAAGTAAAATTATGATTTGACTAATGTTTGGAATAGTAAGGTTAATTTAATTTGATCTACAGTTTATGTCTTTGAGAGGCAGTGATCTAAGACAGGGGTCCCCAACCCCTGGCTATGGACTGGTATCTGTCTGTGGCTTGTTAGGAACCGGATCACACAGCTGGAAGTGAGTGACAGGCAAGTGAATGAAACTAAAACCATTCCACCTGGTGTGTGGAAAAATTACCTTCCACAAAACTGGTCCCTGGTGCCAAAAAAGGTTGGGGAGTGCTGATCTAGGAGGAATAAAGAAGCATGTTCTTTTAGGGAAAGTAATTCTACTTTCATTCAGGCCATAGATGGGATGTTTCTTGTGTTCTTTGCTCAGGACTCTGTTGCAATATAGAAAGAAGAGTGTTATGTCTGCACTACAACTATTAGTTAAATCAGGGACAATTTATATTATCAGCATATTTATGCTGTTCCTGTTGCAACTTTAATGGCAAAGATTATGTGGCAAACTAGATGTATTAACCTATGTGGAGAGTTAATATACATTTTTGTCACAGTATTCTTACTCCCAAATTAGAGATTTTAACTGTGCAATTGATGCTGCTAGAAGCTGAGAGCTCATAGATCATCTAACCCAAGCTAATCCAGCAATAACATGTTTTAAAAATATAGTCAAAAACCCTGACTACCACATCAGCCCTGTAAAATATGTCTTTTTTCTTAGCTATAGCTGTTTAAAATGTGGAGTCCTTGGTATTCTCTGAGTTTGTTTGTTTGCTTGCAGACATTTCATTACCCAACTAGGTAACATCAGTGCTCAGAGAACACCAAAGACTTCACAATTCAACCGTAAGCTACATATAAAACAATAGCTCTTCAGTAAGATTAATCAATTAACCAAACCCTTCATTAAGTAAAATAATATTTCTCTTATATTGAAGAGTGATTAAATAATGTGGAAAGTCCTTACCGTTGACTGATCTACAATGATAGGCATTAATAATAGAGGAATTAGGTTAGTTATAAGGATCCTAGTGAACATTAACTTTGCTCTGGCAAGAATTATCATTGTTGAAAGATAGTGTATGAGGGACTTCATTTTGACAGCTTTCATTTTCTCTTGAATAGAAGGAATAAAGAAGAGAAATTATTAGTTTAAAAGTAGAAGAAAATGTAGGTCTTTTGTGTGTGTAGGGGAGATTAGGGATAAAATCTGTATACACGCATGCAGCATATGATGTGTATGTGTGTTGTGTGTGTGAAGTTTTAAAAAACAATGACAAGGGGCCAAAGTTTTTGGCAACTATGTTTAGCTAACAAACAAATGCTTTCTCTAGTAAGTTATAAATTAATTTTAATAGGCTGATCCAGATGGTCTGTTTGGAAAATGGATAGCTTGATCTGTTGAAAATTAAACTAAATTTATCTGTCTCATACTTCAAACTGAACCTAGTGTGAAAAGAATGCCCATTAGGTCCAGTGAATACAGATGGACCAGCAGGTCACACATGGGACTAATCTGATTCATTTTAAAAATAAATGTGTGAATTATTGAATGCAACTCCTGGTTTGAATCCTGTTTTATGCGTGTGTGTAGCCTTTTTGAAAGAACTTCTCAAATGTTTCAGTGCCCCTTTTAACCTGTGTGTTTCTGTTTTAAATTCAACATTCTTGCCAAAAACATAATTAGTTTTCAGTACCTATCGTTTAGTGTTAAATCTGAATGGTAGATTGATTAGGTCAAGCATTTGTTATTTTAAGGGCTTTACCTCTCTGAAGAATTGATTCTTAGTAGCCTTGAAAGAGAGCTAGGCTTTAGAAGCCAATGAGGGGGAATCTCTCCAGGGACCTTTGAGCTTTTGGCTTTGGGGTGTGTTAAACAGAGCCATGAATGAAGATTTGTAAATTTATTGCAATACCATCTGGGTTTTCTCTTTCTTTTTGCAAGGACCATATTGTTGTTGGATTGTAGCTGTCTATTGTGAAGTCACTCCCGAAGAGTCTGCCCTCCTACTCTAAAGGAAAGTGATGAATAGCAAAGGTCAACAGGCCTAGGTCACAGGGCAGCTGTCCAGGGCTGCCATGAACTTGATTACTCTCCTGCCTTTTTGAAAAGATGGCTCAGCACAGGTTATTTAAGGAAAACTATTCTCCTTTGCTCAGATAGGGTATTAATGAAGTATCTTTTTCCTGACAAAACGTGCTCTGCAGGTGGAGGGAGTTTGGATATGGATATTCTTTGCAGAGAGGAAATTATGTCAAAAGGTGCCATGTGGGGGAAGTGCTGATAGCAGCATCATTGAAATGATATGCATGGCAGTTTTTGCATTGAAGTGCACAGCTTCCAGACAGAATAAAAGTGAAGCAGCTATTCCCGACTCTTGTCAACTAAAATGGTTCTCCTTCCTTCTACACCAGCATTTCTCAATCTCAGCAACTGTTAGATGTATGGACTTCAGTTCCTAGAATTCCCTAGTAGTTAGAATAGCTATACCTTTCCATCACCATATTTTGGTAAGCCATTTCTTCAGTAGTTTTGCCTTGTGTTTTCTGGCTGCAATATTCAGAGGTTTTGGAGGACATACAAGGCTCTGATATATTGTGGGGAAAATAGAAAAACTGCTGAGCCCAACCATAGGATGTTTACAATTTTGGGCAAAATAGTCTAAAAAGACATCTCATAGTTACCTAAAATTGAATGAATATCTTTCAGAGAGGGAAAAATCAACATGATTGATTTAACCTGACCTTTAATGTTAATAATGACCAGCAAGGTTTCTAAAAGTGTTCATAAAATAATCTATTTGTTTCCTGTACTCCTCAATTAATAGCCTCTTTTGAGTTTTTTTCTTTTGTACTTGAAGAGTTAACTTATAAATTAAACAGGAATCCAAGGCTGCTGCCGAAGATATTATCCTGAAACATAAAGCCACTTGTATTGACTTTTTACTTTAATACTAATCATGTCTGTCAGATGTGCTGCTTTTCTGCCTACCTCTCTAAGGAGAAAATGTCTAGCATTGCCTATTGTTCTGACCTTTTGTTTCTGTGTCCACTTACAGCCTACTGAACGTGCATAGTGATAAATAAAGCTGTGAACAGGACTCCCAACTCTTTGAAAACAGCATGCTGCCATCCCCTTAGTTATATTTCTTTAAGTGTTTACGTGTATGCTGAATTCTTTTCTCTTGTGTAGCTGGAACCCTGGGGCTTCAGAGCCATGAGAGAGGCCAAGAAGCTAACAAAGTATCTGTCCGCTTGTTAGCTTGTTCCATTCTTTTTTTCTTTTCTTTTCTTCTTTTTTTTAAAGACAAAGCAAAAATCACACACCACAAGATGAAACCCATCTGGCTTAAGGCATTACATTTTCCTCCCCCATCCACCTCTATAGATGAAGAGTTTCACCTGCAGTGAGGGCTTCCATTGATTAGGAAGGGTGCAGTAATTCAACTCTAGCCATCCACTTCAGTGATACTTTGCTGTCTTTAAAGGTGCTGACCCATTGAGTTAAACTGTCAAGAGGAGGATAAAAAAGGAGCTCTGTCCCAGGAGGTAACAGCTGCCAGGTTTTCAACACCTTGTGCACTGCTGGAGAAATGTCACCTATTGTAAATGGGAAGAAAAATGACTGCCTTAGTTGCCATCTTCCCTTTTAATGACTTAAGATCAAAAATGGACAATTTGAAGATTTGCAACGTGAGCAAAACTTAAGGCAGGCCAGGAAAAGTGGATTTGGCAGGTTTTTATAGCCAAGACAGGAGGCAGGGAAGGAATAAACCACCTATACATTAAGAATGCTATTTGAATCTGGCCAATTTTGCCAACAATAGCAATCTGTTTTAAAAAATAGGTGCTTGAATCATAAATTAGCAGAATGTATTTTCTGCTCTTTGGAGGACAGTTCATTTTCAGATGGCTAAATACCGTGACCTTTCTCTTTTGTTTGACTTCTTGTTATTTCAGATTTTATTTTACAAACATTTTTTTTCTCCTTGCTTTTGTCAATTGAACTTTATCGAGTAACTTTCAGGGTGGGGGTAGGTTAAAATGGGAATAGATATTACTGCCCTTTAAAA